GTTTACGTGTGGACGAAACAGCTGCGTTTTCAAAAGTAGGTGCGAACGTAGCGTAAAAGAGTTAGTAGTTTATTTTCTTACTACCTGTAATTTATTGCAGATTACTTGTATTTGCTTAATTGTTTACTAAATGTTTGAGGTGTGAAATAAACCGCAATGGAGCAAAATATGGGTGTGTGTGGTTGCAGGATGTGTTTGAGTGTGCGCTTGCGTGTGCGTGTGCGCAAGCATTTTTCTTGTAAAACAAGGGGGGCCTTGCAAAAAAAGTTTGGGAACCACTGAGTTAGGGCAACAAAAGATGCCTGGGACAGTTCAGCCATAACTTAAATCTTTTCCTGCTCATACATGCTTGGAACGATCTTGCCACTAAAGTGGGCTCGAATGGCAGGGCCCTAGAGTGCGACCAATTTGCTCGCAAATGCGACCAGATTTTTCAGTGGTGCGACTAAAAAAAAAAAAATTTGGTCGACTGTTCAGGTAACAAAAAAAAATAAAAAATCTCTGCAACTCTCTGTGTGGTGAACAACAGACACACATTATGCCCCTATCGTGGACTAAACCAATCAGAGATAGTCAGGGGCGGGACCTCTCTGATTGGCCGTGGTCCAGTTGAAAGTGCCGGTGGAAGAGAGAGGTGAGTAGTTTGAATAAAGCGATATCGATTCGTTAACGGATTCCACACAAAGACGTAAACACAGAGCGGACCCGACGCATCAGAATCAGCTTTGTCTTTCTCAGCTTTCTCACCCAACGGCCCATAGACGGATACACTGTCGGAGCTTAGCGATTCTGATGACACCACGATAAAAATTACACTTCATACACTCTCTGTGTGTACATCAAGAACAGTTTCCCATCTCAAAGCTGTTTTCTCCTTCATGTTTTTCTGTGTTTTATTCTCAGTTACTTTCACTCAAAGGCATCTGCTGTGATGTTCACAATTCTGATGAAGTCTCATGTGTATCAGTACTGATAAATGATCAGAGTTATAATATTTCTGACTGTCTGAGGCTAAAGTGAATCAAATCAGGACTTTGAGAACCGGAATCGAATGGATTATAGAAATCAGTGATGATACCCAGCCCTAGTGAGCAGCCTA